GAGGGCGCGGGGCCGGGCGTGGGTTTCACCGTCTGGATTGCCTTCAGCTGCTGCGGGGCCTGCCCGGCGGAGCCGAAGCACCTCAGTTGTGCCAGGAACCTCTGCCACTTCTTCTACCCTCAGGATTTTGACATCGCTGGCCAGTTCGACCCGATGATTCCCGATGCCGAGTGCCTGAAGATCGTGCATGAGATCCTGAGTGACCTGCAGCTCGGGGACTTTCTCATTAAGGTGAGGTCAGCGCGGGGTGGTTTTCACAGCTCTGCGCCTTCCCTTCCTGTGGGATTGAGGCACTGGTGAAAAGGCAGGAGGAAACGCCAACAGCTGCAGCTTCTGTACCTCGGGGGCAAGAAGAAATGGCGTGGGGGGGATCTCCCCTGAGCGAAACGTGCCTCTCCCGCCCCCAGGTCAATCACCGACGGATTTTGAATGGTGTGTTTGCCGTCTGCGGCATCCCAGAGAGCAAGTTCATAACTGCGTGCTCTACTGTGGACAAGCTGGACAAGGTAAGGGTTGTGCTCATGAGGAGATGGATTCCAGTGGTGGTGGGGGTGGATGTCGCGGGCTGGGCAGTGTCATGGCTGTTCTCTCCATAAAGGGGTTCACAGCAGCTAAGCCGTTGGTGTTCGTAAAGGATTTGGGGAGCTCTTGGTTGTGGTTAAGAATAAATCCAGTGGCTTCTGTTAACAATTCCTGTGAGAGAGATGCGGCTCATTAGTGAGATTGCTGACTGCTGTCTTCCCGCACGTGCTGTGACTACGTGGGCTGGTGGAGACTGTGGGTGACGAGAACATCCCCACAGCAACAGATGCTCTTCTTTCCCCTTGCAGATGCCGTGGGAAGAAGTGAGGAGCGAGATGGTAGGAGAGAAGGGGCTCTCTCCCGAGGCTGCAGATCACATCGGGGAGTACGTCCAGCTTCGTGGTGAGCACCGTGGGGTTGAGCCCTTGGCCTTGTTCTTCTGGGGCCAGTGATGGAGGGGTGCAAGGCATGTACGTGGCTGGCCGGGCCTGCATTTGCAGGTGCTGCTGCGCCGGCAGACCTGAGGCATGGCTGGTTCCCACAGGTGGCACGGAGCTGATCGAGCGGCTTCTCCAGGACCCCAAGCTGTCCCAGAACAAGCTGGCCAAGGAGGGGCTGGGGGACATGAAGCTGTTGTTTGAGTACCTGACCCTGTTTGGCATCGCAGGGAAGGTGAGGAGGTGCGGAGGCAGGAGGGGGTGCCGGCCTCGTGGCCGGGCACCCGAGCGTGGCGGGAGGCGGTCGCTACGACGGGCTGGTGGGGATGTTTGATCCCAAGGGACGGAAGGTGCCCTGCGTGGGGGTCAGCATCGGGATCGAGCGGATCTTCTCCATCCTAGAGCAGAGAATGAAGGTAGGTGCTGCAGGTGGTGCGTGGGGAGGGCTCTAGGCAGCCGGCTCTTGTTTATGACAGAACTCTACAGCTCCACAGTGTTCGAGGGGAAAGAATTTTGGGGGAGAGCGTGGCTCCTCTCATGCCTGCACATCCATGGTCAGAAGATAGAGCCCTTTTCTGTAGCCTGTCAGGATGCAGGCATGGGCAAGCTGAGGACAGCGTTCTGTAGCAGATGCTGAGGAAGCGTTTGAGACGGGCCCTGAGCTCTGGTCCTGGCTCTGAGCTTTGCTCTTGCCTGTGAAGTTTTCTGTCCTGGGGCTTGTGAAGTGATGAATTCGGTAACAGCTGGGGCACTCGCTCTGTAATGAGCCCCCTAGGAGCGCCTGTGAGGAAATTCATCACTCTGCATTGAGCTCTGAGCTTGTGATTTACAGCAAGTGAGGTTGAGGCAATGTGCTTGTACCTGAAGAATCAAAGGAGACGTGGGAAAGCTGTCCACTTCCCATCTGGGAGGGAGGGAGGGAGGCAGGCCAAGGTCACATGGGAAAAGCAGCACACGATTTAAGTTGTGTCACAATGCAGATTCTCTGGGGGGCTCATTAAATGTGCCCAGGTTGTCTTCTCTGTGTGCTCTTTTTGCTTCTGGAAGGTTAGCCTGGCTCAGCAACCTTCACTGAATGGCGATGGTTAGCTTTTAAGTATACTTGTTATGGGGAGCCAAGTTGAGGTCTGAAGATAAGGTGAGATGAGCTTCTGTTGCGAGCTGCAGATTCCCTCGGAGCCAGTCGCTCCCGTGAGTGTGTCTGTCTCTGCAGGCTTCTGGGGAGAAAGTTCGAACAACTGAGACACAAGTGCTGGTGGCTACACCTCAGAAACACTTACTTGCTGCAAGGCTGAAGCTCATCTCCGAGCTGTGGGATGCAGGGATCAAGGTAAAGTAAGGATGTGCGCTTGGCGCTGGTATGGGTGAGGGAGGGAGAGTCTGAAGGGACCTGCAGCACAGCACGACCAACTCCACTACTTGTGTGTCTCTTCATAATCTGGTCTGAGATCAAGCAGGCAGAGACCTTAGAAGGCAGCTGAGAGAACTAAAGGCAACTGCTTGCTGCAGGAGTAACAAGGCAGAGTTTTCTGTGGAGTCTTGGTGCTGGCTGTTTTGCTCTGAGATCCGTCAGAGCAAATTTTGCACTAATGCATTCAGCTTCTCCCTTCCCTCCTAGGCAGAGATGGTGTACAAGAAGGATCCGAAACTGCTGAAGCAGCTGCAGTACTGCGAGGACACGGGGATCCCCCTTGCTGCCATTGTAGGAGAGCAAGAGCTGACAGATGGAGTCGTCAAGCTGCGAGATGTTGCAACAAGAGAGGAGGTGAGAATGCCTTTTTACAACAGGTTTCAAAAGCGGTTCCAAAATCTAGAGATTACTGAAAGGCTCTGGGTTCTCCCTCAGTGAAGCTATTCCTTTGGGGAGCTGTAGGACAGATCTGTCAGGTGACTGCTCCAGAAAACCAGCCACAAACTGTGTTGGTATCCAACAGCAAGTCCTTAGGGCCAGATTGAACCGTGTTCTGCTCAGGGTTTCAGTGCTGCTACCTCCTCCTCTCTGTTTGCTTTCTAGGTTGATATCCCAAGAGAAAAGCTTGTTGAGGAGATCAGAAGAAGGCTGGAGCCCTAGGACATCTCTGGCCAGAACTGCCTGACTGAACTGCTGTAAAACTGGAAGCCTTTTAGCCATTCACTTCCCACTGAAGTCTGGTCACCATCTACTAGCCTGAGGCTCATCTGCCTGGGCTAAGGCCATGTCAACATGGGGTACCTGCTTGGAAAGGAATAAGCAGGTTTTAGAAGTTAGGGACAGTGCGGTCACCAGGTTAACCTGGTTAACTGCTCTGAAGGATGGGTCAAGCTTGTGGGTTCCTAATGTTGTGGTACCTGTGACTGTGCAGCCATTCCCATCCGCTGTAGGTGGCGGGGGCATGGGCACAGATGGATGCGGTGCAGCTCGAGCAGGAGCGGGGATGAATCTGTGGCGTGTTGGACGCCTCCAGGCTCGGGACGTGTGGTGGGGGGGAGTGGAAGGCCCCCCCCTCCCCTCTGAGGGCCGCGGGGGCCAGCCCCAGCCTGC